GGGGCAGGGACTGTGAGTGGGGAGGAGAAGGATACGGCCAGGGTGGGTTGCAGGGGCTTGAAGCCCCATTTAATGCTCATGGCCGCCCCTTTCTCTTCCAGCGGTGAAACAGAAGCAGATCCGGCGGGGGGTGAAGGAAGTTCAGAAATTCATCATGGGGTGCAGGGGCTTGAAGCCCCATTTAATGCTCATGGCCGCCCCTTTCTCTTCCAGCGGTGAAACAGAAGCAGATCCGGCGGGGGGTGAAGGAAGTTCAGAAATTCATCAACAAGGGCGAGAAGGGGTAAAAGCCCTGGGCTGCTGCCAGCCCATGCTCCTCTGTCCCCAGGATTAGAACCGGGGCTTTTCAGCTCTGACAGCTTGGCCTGTAGCACTTCGTCTTGGGCAGGTGTTCGAAGGCCAGATGGTCTCTGCTGAGAGCCGGCAGTGTCCTTCCCACTTGTGTCTCCCCCTTTGTGGCCAATCACCCGCCCTTCAGGCCTCTCCTCAGCCTGTGCCTCTCTCCCTCCACATCTACTGACATGCTTTCTTGCTCTGCTGTTCTAGGATCATCGTCCTTGCTGGAGACACGCTGCCCATTGAAGTTTATTGCCACATCCCCGTCATGTGTGAAGACAGGAGCCTTCCCTATGCTTACATCCCCTCCAAATCGGTAAGGCTGCTGGGGAGGGAAAATGGCCCTTTGTGAGCACCAAGAGCGCTTGAAACTTCCTAGTAGGATAGTAGCTTAGTTTTGCAAGCAGTAATGTAGCTGGGCAAATACTTAAGCTGCCTGGGGTCCTGCTGTGCAGCGTGCTCTAGTGTATGGTCAGAGGGCGCTTTCATCTTTGTTCCTAAAGAATCTAGTTAGCCGAGACTGGCGGCATACTCTGTTCTCCTCTAGCAGGTCCTTTACATTATTTGTATAATACAATGTGCAGTGCTGCTCCTGGGTTTTATCTTCTTGAGTGGTGTCTCCAGCTGATGTCACCTGCCTCCTTCCTGACCAAACATTGTACCTGCTGTGACCTCTCGCCTTCCTTGGAAAGTGTGGCTGGGCCCCATCCGGCCAGGCACTTCGGATATTCCTGGATCAGAAAGGCCCAGCTAGGGCATGAGTTGGGGAAGATAAGCTGTTCGCAAATGGGGTCAGGCTCTGAGCAGATGGGGGCCTGGTAACCCCTATTAAGCAACAGCTGGCATCTGTGGTGTGAAGTCAGGATGCATTTTGCTTTAAAAAATATTTTGGGAGGGAATGAGTTGGGGGCTGCCTCTGGCACTGAGCCCGCAGGGGGCATGCGCCTGGGAGTGCCTGCGACTACTTTTGACACATCCCTAGGCATACAAAGCATTGGGCACCATCTGCCCCAAATGTAGTGGTGCCCTATGCAGCTGGCCCTGTGATACCTCTTCCTCCTCTTCCTCAGGATCTAGGAACAGCTGGAGGCTCAAAGCGCCCCACCTGTGTGATAATGATCAAGCCACATGAGGAGTACCAGGAGGCATATGATGAGTGTTGGGAGGAGGTGGTATCCCTTCCTGTCCCCCTGTGAAGGACCATGGAAGGCCTGCTGGAGCTTCTGGCTGGTTGGGCATATATACTGGCCTCTGAGGACTTTACAAAACGATACATGAAATGAGCTGCTCCTTCAGCTGCCTGCTGGGTCTCCGTGCAGGGAGCATGCTGCATGAACCCATGGCTTCTCCCCAAACAACCTTGTTCTGAACAACAGTAGTGGTTTCTGGGAGGGGAGGGAGATGGTGACAACGCTCTCTCCTTGTGGGGAAGGGGAGAGCAAGCTTCCTGGCCCAGGCAGCATTCTTGTGAGGGAAGAGCCCGAGGAACGAGCAGCAAAACAGACCTGCTGTGTGGTGCATGGAATAAATGGATTTGTACAGTCCTTAGCTTGTTGCAGCCTTTAGTAAAGCAGCCAGGCTTGGTAAGTGCAGGGATGGGCCTAAAGGCTGCTAGTAGGAATCGGGGGAGGACGCTGGGAAAATGACATAGTCCAGGAGCCCACTTTCTTTGGGGCCCAGTGGGATTCATTCTGGAATAAACGGGCCATTGCTCTTGGTGCCGAAGCTGGAGAAGGTGGTGTCCTGTTCAATCCAGCCTAGAAAGAGAGTCTGATAAGACTGGGACTGTTCAACTTAGAAAAGAGGAGACTATGGGGGGGTATGACAGAGGTCTATACAATCATGACCAATGTAGCGAAAATACATAAGGAAAAGTACCTTGCTGCCATAACAAGAACTAGGGGTCACCAAATGAAATTAACAGGTAGCAGGTTTAAAACAAAAAAGTGTTTCTTCAGACAGCTCAGTCAACCTGTGGAACTCCCTGCCGACAGGATATGGGGATAGAGCGTGGATGTTCTTCTGTTTAGCCCAGCCACAGCTTGTGGGACCCATGGGCCTGTGTGAGGAGGCGAAGTGGAGCCTGGGCTAACTGAGGGCAAGGCAAGACCCTGCCTAGCTCCTGCACCATGCACATGGCCTCTCTCTGCATCAGAAATATCCGCCTCCTGCAGGCTTCCTTGTAGGATTGCTGTAGGGGGAGAGGAATCTGGACTTTCCTCCAGCCCCAGAGTAGCTGCTCCCCACACCCATTGGGGAGGCATTGAAGCCTTGTATTTCTTCTCCCTCTTCTGGTGAGGAGCTGGGGTGGTGGCCCCAGGCTGGGCTCTGACCTGCAGTCAGGCATGATGGGCTGCAACATTGCCAGGCCCATCAGTTCCATCCTAAGCAGGGGAAAACCCCTTTCCTGTCCCCACTGCTGTGCTGGCTGGCTCTGGGGAGAGCTGGGAAGGACCATTTGAGCCACCCCAGCATCTCATTCAGCGCAAGAGGCCGGACAGCACCTGGCAGACTGTGCCTTGGGCAAGCAGGGAGCAGCTCCATGTGCTGAAGCAGATCAGACAGCGCTCCCAGCTGGCTCTGAAAGCCAGTGAGGCAAATAAACAAGGATGAGCAACCACTTGCTCTACTCTCAGCAGGCCCTGTCAGCACTGCCGCCCATGGGTGCTGGGAGATGGGGCTGAGGAGCTCCACATACACATGCTGGTGCCAGGCCAGCTTTCCCCAAGACCAGCGCTGTCCTTGCCTTGTGCCTGGCCACACTGCAGTCTCCTGTGGAGCCCCAGCCAGGGCACAGGCAGCGGCAGCATGTCTCTCATGCTGGGTGCAGCTCTCAG